GCGGCTCCTAGCGGACGTAGGGTGACCATAGTGGAAACAGTTTCCAGATACCACGACTGCAAGCAAAGTAATATCTGACGCTTGAACCAGACATACAGGAAACTGAAAGTAGCTAAATAGCGTGACACTTTAATTAACTAAGTAAGTTACTCGCTGCTCCGATTCAATACAAACTGTTAGTTTACCTTGGCAGTAACGAGTTATATTCCCGTTATTCTAAATTATTCATTTTTATGCAGAAGTAGCCGCGCTTACAATTTTTGTCGTCGTTAATAATTTCTTTCTTTTAACACGTTCATCTAGGAATAACTGTGGTTATACCGACATACATTGTGCATAACGTGTTATGGTTTTTCTAGCATTTTCTCGTCGTGCAGATTACAGACGAGAGCCGGGGAGTGAACTCGGTTGGGTACTCCTGTAGTCCGCGTTTTACTTCAGAAGTAACTAAATACGGATACTCGTTACTTCGTAAAGAAAGTAACCCAAATACGTTACTGGTTCCATCTCTTAACAATTTACTAGGTTGTTACTTTGTTACCGAACAAAGTGACTAGGTACAAGTAACACTTTCCTTGTAACACGTTAGGTACAAGTTTGTTACTTTGTTACCGAACAAAGTGACTAGGTACAAGTAACGCTTTCCTTGTAACACGTTAGGTACAAGTTTGTTACTTTGTTACCGAACAAAGTGACTACGTACAAGTAACGCTTTCCTTGTAACACGTTAGGTACAAGTTTGTTACTTTGTTACCGAACAAAGTGACTAGGTACAAGTAACGCTTTCCTTGTAACACGTTAGGTACAAGTATGTTACTTTGTTACCGAACAAAGTGACTAGGTACAAGTAACGCTTTCCTTGTAACACGTTAGGTACAAGTTTGTTTAGAACGCAGAGCCCTCCCTGTAGCGCATCCTAAAGAAGTATCTCAGGGTGTTTAACGAGGAGACCGGCGGACCGACGCCATCCGGCCAGCTATGAGTATCGGCATTCTTGCAGCTTCAATCGCCCAAGCCATCTCTCAATTTTCTGAAAATCTGTTGCCAGGTCTTCACGAAAATCACTCCCACCTTTTGATCCTCGTAAAGTACCGTGTGCTTGGTAGAATAAAGAATCCTTGTTTTTCTTGCCGTAAAATAAACCATGCATCTGGTCCGAACTATTAGCGCAACAGCCGGGTCTACAATTTCAGGCTTGGCCCTTGTGTGGCGTAGGCGGTTGAAGACAGATGCAAAAACTTCAGAACATTTCAATCTTTTGATTCAAAAGTTATAAGCGATTTTTGCAAACTCGTAATGGGAAAGTACAATTTATTTTATTTTATTAATACTACCAACTGCCGTGGGGCAGCCAAGGTAGAAAAGATGTAACAGTCAAAGTTTACGATATAGCTATTTAATACAACATTATAATATAATAATATAATTTTATATTATCTAATATATAATAATAAATATATTATTATTATAATTATTATAATAACAGCTATTATTTAATATGAAAAAGTAACATTTTAACAACTTCCAAGAATACAGGAGGAATATATAAAGTATACAATACACGCTTCCGGAAACGGGCCCTATTTGTTAATTAAAATTTTCCAAAACCGCGTACATTTTTATGAGATAGTTGTAAGTTTTTATACTCTGACATCTGCTGCCAAACACTAGCGTTATATTTGACCAATATTAATTGTTCGGCGAGGAGCAGTTTATTTTTGCGGCAAAAATAACACGGTTCACTTTTCTCCCACTTCACTGTATTCCCTTGAATTTATCGCAAGTGGCCTTGAGCACTGAGGTCATATATCGTGAAACTTCGGAGCGAATTAATGGTGGTTGAGTCTCTCAAGTTTTGCCTCGGCTCAATCCGGTACTCAGCTAAAAAACGCTATTCACTTGTTACCTAATGACTCTTAATTATGTTCTTGACTTTACCGGATGTTTCAGCTGTTACTACTTTTGGAAATGGAGCCTCAACGCACCGACGTAAGTAGACGAAGTTTGTCCAATGATATACGTTATTGCGTTTCAGCGTATTACATAGTTTATTTGGTATGATACTTCTAGCACTGCGACAATATCCGCACAGCTGTACTAAGTTTATGATTTTGAATGCCAATAATTACTTACCTGAAGTAGAACAATAATAGTTACGCTCTGTATTTTTGTGCGAATGCGATATGTTTTTAATACTATCCCTCATGGTCCTGCTTCTCCAGATGAAATAAAAAGAAGATATTTGACATTATCGCAACAACTTTTAAAGCAAGAAAAAAAAAGTGAAAGCTGCTTACAACTCCCTGTAACGCCGAATTAGAGCGCAGCTCTTGAGGAGGAGGAGGGAACGGCACTGGGGGGGGGGGGGTTAAACTAACCAGGGGGGGGTCACGTGACCCTGGGGGTCACGTGACCTCCAATGCCGATGATGTCATCACTGAGGTCACTGATGACGTCATCATTGATGATGACGATGCGGGTACCGATGACGTCATTAGTGACGTCACTGATGACTTCACCAGTGATGATGACGATGACGATGCGAACGTCGGTGACGTCATCAGTGACGTCGCTGATGACGTCATCAGTGATGATGACGATGACGATGCGGATGTCGGTAACGCCATCAGTGATGATGACGATGCGGATGCCGGTGACGTCATCAATGATGATGACGATGACGATGCGGATGCTGGTGACGTCATCAGTGACGATGACGATGACGATGTGGATGCCGGTGACGACATCAGTGACGTCACTGATGACGTCATCAGTGATGATGACGGTGACGATGCGGATGTCGGTAACGTCATCAGTGATGATGACGATGACGATGCGGATGCCGGTGACGTCATCAGTGATGATGACGATGACGATGTGGATGCCGGTGACGTCATCAGTGATGATGACGATGACGATGTGGATGCCGGTGACGTCATCAATGATGATGACGTCATCAGTGACGATGACGTCATTGGGGGTCACGCGACATCGGCGGAGGTCACGTGACCTCAGGGGAGTCACGTGACCCCCCCGCGGTGCATTATGGGACATTTCCCATGATGCACCGGGGTCACGTGACCTCGGGGGGGTCACGTGCCCCCCACGAGGTCACGTAACCCCGGTGGGGGGCTCGCGCGGTGCATTATGGGACATTTCTCATGATGCACCGCGCGGTTACGCCGACGCCGACGCCGACGCCGACGCCGACGGCGACGGCGACGCCGACGCCGCTCAAGCCGGAAACGGGCCCCTAAGAGCTGCGCTCTAATACAAATATAGTATAAACATTGCTTTACAATGAAGTTGATGGATTTTTATTTGAATATAAAACAAGATATAGCGTGTGGCGAAAAGTACACACACACACACGCACACACGCGAGCGCACGCACGCACACACACACACACACATACACGCAGACAGACACAGACACATTCGGGTCCTTCAGCATCCCATAGCTGAATGCAAAAGCATAAAATCCTCTTTAGTATAATACTATACCTGTGAGATTTGATACCGGGATGGTCCGATGAAACCTCACTGGAATACAAGAAATTAAAGACGTTTACAAGTTTCTGTAACGCGAAATTAGAGCGCAGTTCTTGAGGAGGAGGAGGAGGGGAGGGTACGGAAGGGAGGGTATGCCTCCCATCCTCCTCCCTTCCTCATCTGCTCTTCGTCCTCCATCCTTAGCTCCTCCTCTCCCCTCTTCTTCCTCCCCCTCCTTCTCCTCCTCCTCCCCTCCTGCTCCTCCGGACCTTCCCTTCTTCCTCCTCTGCACGTGACGTCAATTTTCCCACTAAATCTAGCGGAGAAAATGAATTTGGTCATAGGTGACGTGACACGAAATGTGACATCATTTTCCCCGCTAAATTTAGCGTGGAAACTGCATTGGTATTGAGGTCACGTGACTTAAATTTTCCCCCTAAATTCAGCGGAGAAACTGAATTTGTTAATAGGTGACGTGAAACCATATCATGCTATGTCATTTCCCCCGCTAAATTTAGCGGGGAAACTGAATTGGTGTTGAGGTCACGTGACGCCAATTTTCCCGCTAAATATTGCGGGGAATCGAATTGCTGTTGATGTCAGGTGACATCAACTTTCCCGCTATATTTAGCGCGGTTACGCCGACGCCGATGGCGACGCCGCTCCACCCGGGAACGGGCGCCCAAGAGCTGCACTTTGAAAAAGAAGAGTGCTATACTTATTTATTATAATCCAGAAAATGACTACGAATAATAGAGGAGATAATACTTCCCATTTGGGACGTGCCTTAAAAGCTTGTGTAAACTGCTTCATCACTTAGTACGTACATCTTGAGGTTTCGAATGAACTGCGTCGTATTAAGCTTAAATAAAACAAAAGTCCAAGTTCGTGCTCTTGAGTGGCGACAATACTAAAAGGCCGCGTTTTTGGATAGAAGATTTTTAATGCGAAAGCATTAACTGTCTCATGGAGCGAGCCGACGTCATCAGCTTTGCAACCATGCAAAAAGGCCCCTTAATGCAACCACGCGCAAATCTAGCCAACGGCACCTTTTACACTTTGGTCTCATTGGCTGGCGCGCGTCGACGAGGCTCCCTTTGGCCACCGCGCGTCAGTTTGTGTTGTGTCATCCTGATTGTGTTATCACACTGTTCTGTTGTCACTGATCACTGCGTTCGCTCACCTCTTATCGGTTGTACGGCGCTTGGCAAAATATACGGCGCTTGGAATAGACCAAGCGGTTCGTTCTGCTAGGAACTACGTTGCTGTCCTTTCCTCGCACCGCAAGGCACACGACAGTTTGAACGAACGCTCACTCGCTGGCGCTGCGTGTCCGCGAAGCAGCGGCTCCACCGCTCCACGCCCATGGTCAGCGCGTTGTACGCCGCAAATTAAAGAAGGGAGCGAAGAGCGGCGTGCGTGCTTTCGCATTCACAACTCATAAGAAGTGCTTAGGTGTACCTCTAGCCTTCCTCATTTTTTTTGTCTCTTTCATTGTAGGCGATGTAATGCAGATTGGCGTTCACTTTATCTACAACCACGAAGTTCAGGAGAGGTTTCATGAAACACACCGTGACCCAAATTTTTATTTTACTGTGCTTCTGAATGCCGTAAGAGGGATAACTTGCCTCATTTATAGGATAATGGCTAAATATTTGGCCGGTTTCCGTAAGTAATTTCGCAAAAAAAGTTATTATTTCGGCACACGTTTACGTTCATAAAATCAAGTATATTCACGATTGCCCACCGTTATCTGGTAATATTGTTCGTGAATGGTTCTGAAGCAGTGGTGTTTAAGAGGGCTTTCTGCATAATTTGCATGGTGCAATACTTATATTATATAAGTTTTCTTTTCGATTAATACTTGTGTGACGTGAAAGAAGTTCTAATGTTTTTGTAACTTTTTTGTATTTAAGGTGGAAACTAGATTGGCAACTATTCCATACCCGTTCATTCAGCTCACATTGGTCGGAACCAGAGCGATTAACGTGAGTTTTAAGCCAGCCTTGGTATTAGTTAGAAAAGCAAGTTCCATTAGGTACTCTATGTTTAATAAAATACATATTAAATTCTTAACAAAATATATACGTGAAAATTAGACAACAATACCGGTTTCTTGCTGTGTCTTGCCAATGAATGGAGGCTTCAGCCGAAGTGCTGCCCATCTGCTATATACGGAACACAAACAATCATTCTCCATCGCCATTCAAAATTTGGAAATTGTTTAAAGGTGCAGATTGTCACGTGAAGTTACTTGCCACCATTAAAAGAATTTCGACAAATCACCTTATGTCCAAATTGGAGCTTGCGTCGCGAATACCCATTTTGTTTGAAAACAAAATCGGCGATAGAGTGACAATGGTTCAGCCGCTGTCCCTTCTAACTGAAGCGTTTGAAGGTTTTCTGCAAGAAATGTTTCAAAATAAAAGATTCGCCTCGAAGTAAGGGAGGAGGCATTAAAGCAATTTAGCTTGCATATCCCGTGCAAGAACACAAGAAATCAAGAGGTGCCTAGGGTAAGCTTCATTTCACTGCGTAATTACTCACAAAAGCGGAAAGCGACGGCACAAAAAGACGAGGAAACAACGGGGAAACACTCAAAAGAAGCAAAAAAAAAGCACCTTTAATTTTTTTTGTGGCTTCCCGGTGCACCGTTGTCATCTTACTCTATTGCTTCCACATATGAATCGCCAACTCACTAAGAGCAAATAATACTCTAGAAATGCAATTAGAAACATAAATTGTTCAATCAAGCGGCAATGAACATTTGCGGCAGCACATGAGCCACACCTAAATAAATCGTCATACGTAGAATATGTGTCTGTCTTCGTTAAATCTCAGTGTAATTGTCGATGTACTGAGTCCAATACGACGACTTCTGACTTCGACGCGTGTTTTTCGCTGGCCGTGCCAGATGCCCTTTGTTATTTGGCCTTAAAATTGCCATGTGTGTCGCATTTTATGCAGGTTTTTATTGGGACCTTTTTCTACATAGCCAACGTAATATCTGGGAACAATTATCACCATTTTGTAGAGTGAAGTCATACTTATAATTGGAACGAACGATAAGCTTTGCCGTAGAATGCGTAACTTGGTCTTGAATTTGTTGTGCTAATTTTTTCCTAGTACCAAGTAACTTTCCTTTTTTATGATGCCCTATTACATCCCTGCTACTATAACTTCTCCCTTCAAATATTAGCTCAAATGCATCTATGATTTTTGTTATGCACTAAAATTCACTACAGTGTTTTTGTTAGGTGTGGCGTGTATTATACATTGTGTTCTCACAGTAGAGTTTTTTGTGTGTTTTCTACGCGATGGCAAATAACAACACGTTCGCGAAAAAGAAAATGAATTATAGTGAAGATCACTCTAAATTACCAGATTTTATCTTCGATTTATTCTACTATTACGTTCTCAAGACAAGTAGAGAAATATTTTGCTGGTGTGAAGCATAAATATTATGCTTCACAACATATGATGTCTGTGTTTTTGGTTCTGTTTAAAGTTATATGGCTATAATGTTATAATCGCATAAAACCTACAATGTTATAACTTGTAGAGCAAAAGGTTGCGTAGCAAAACTAAACAATTTAGATGCTGTAAAATAATGTTTTTATCTTAGCTGTCGTAGTAGAGGCCAATTATTACATACTGCCTTTACTATGGGTTGTAGGACACATATTGAAGTGTCCAATGAACGTGTAGGAACACATAAAGTAACATAACATAACGTATTTAATATTACTCAAGATATGTCAATTACTTATAAGTTCTGGTATGTTTATTTGACAGACTACACAGGTAAATGTTATTTCTTTATTAGGGATTTTAATTGTGTTCATACACTTTTATCGTGGATTTGAAAGCGTGCACAGAACATAAAATTTGAGAAAAAGTCTTTTGTTTCGTCTTTCATACAAAACAGCACAATTACGAAAGCATCTTCTGGGAGAGATTCGTTCATGTAAGAACCTGCGCAGTTTTAGGGTAAAAGTCATGGTTAACTATGAATTCCTCTACTTGTTTTCCAGAAATCCAATGCAATAGAAGACCTCCAAATGGAGAAAGAAAAAATTTACAAGAGCTTTATGGAGTATTTCACACAAAACAGATTTGATATGTGCTGTCCGGACTCCACATTCTACGTTACAATATAAGCATTTTTGTTATAACACGTTCCTGTCGTGTTGGTTCATCACTTGTTGGTAAAACAATAATATTTCTTTCCAAGCGCAGTTGACAGTCATAAAGAACTACGCTTCGTTTCGAGTACCATATTGCACTGGGAGGAGCTATATATAAGCTTTATTTATTGTGCTGTTTCACTTCTCGATGATCACAGCTCACAAACACATGTCGATATTATAATTATAATAATGACCACCTATGATATCAAACTTCTTAGTGAGCGCGTTGGTAATGATGTAGGTTTAGAAAGAGTTATATACGTAAAAACAGGGGACGGGACAACACATGTGTTGTCCCGTCCCCTGTTTTTACGTATATAACTCTTTCTAAACCTATATGATATCAACGTTGAGTTAAATAAATACACATCACATCATTCCTCTGGCGACATTGTATTAACGTAAAGCGTTTCTATATCCTGTGTGTTGGCTAACACGATCTTCCGTGGTTTACGAAATTATCCTCAGAACTCCATTGGAACGTGCCAGATATCATAGTTGGTTTGGCACGTAAGACACACAGATTTGACTTTGGCCTCTTTCGCTCAGAACGACTGTTGGCTGACTTTTGTTGTGGACATTTCGCTTTTGTCTGGTTGGAAAGTATTGATTAGGGCTGCGGGTATAGCGGTTCGACTGGAATAGCGCAGCGTCGTTCTTAGCCTCAACACTGCAAAACCGGTGACTGTCTGTCGCCGGTTTCGCCAGCGCTCTGAAGAAAAAAAAATAATTGGGTTCTGCGTGTGTTTTTCTACAGGCTAGAACTCTGTCTGCCTCAAAGGGCGACGAGTCTCCCAGCTGTAAATGAGCAACTTAGCCAGTGCAGTACAACCGCTAACCTGGGGTCTTTAACGTGAATCCCGCAGTAGTGATACACGATCGCCCGCCGGTACGATGCTCATCCAGATCGAAACGGGCAGGGGTAGGAATTGAACCCAGGATCCTGGGTACTGCAGCGCGAGCTTTTGCTCCACGTGCTTCAAGCTGGTGTGCGCCAGTTCACTCGGCCAGCGATCCCCCTTTTTGTTCTTTTAAGATCTTTGAGTGTAATACACATCCAGAGCTGAGGTTACTGCAGTCTTTAATAATGTTGTAGCCTTTAACTGATTTACTTCGCACCTGGGTCACTGAATGCAATGTCTAAATTATGTAACGTTTTTTTTCCCTAACATATGTATATACCTCATTTTTCTATTCTTGCTACTTATGTTTTAACCTGTAAATAAACATTTGCTAAAAAAAAAAAATCGGCCAGCGATCCCCCTTAAGCACTGTGAAGGTTATGAATGACACAGAGCTTTGCGATTTGAACCGCTATTCGCCCATCCCTACTATAATTGCTAAATACCATTAACATGCTTGTTTTATTTCAGAAATTATTTTATGGATGTTGTTGAGGACGAAGGTACGTGGCTTGGGATGCACACATTTTGATGTTTTGACAATGGTAACACGGGAACATGGTATATGCCCCCGCGTAAATATTACCCTCCCAAAAAAAGGAAAGACCAAAACCTTTTAGATAGCGCGATCTAATAATTTACTTCGAGCATTTCATTCTACTCAGCCCCATTGCATTAGACAGCGCGTCTGCAGCGCCCAGTCCTCCCCGAGCAGTATGGACCCTCCGCGTCCGAAGGAACGCACGCGCATCGAGCTATCTACGCTATCGACGCTGTCCCGTAGTCGCGTGCCTCCAAGGAAGAGGACTACCGCCGGCGCAACGAGATACAAGGCTCGCCAAGACAGGAAATACGACTACACACTTAACTTTTTTACACCCTTTAAGGGTGCTACAGCACCCTTTAGGGGTGCTGCAGGGGGTTTGCACCCTTCACTTAGCCGTCCAGCACCCTTTTTCTTGCAGGGTTAGCACCCCTCACGACGAGCGCGAGGGTGTATGAGCGCGAGCACCCTTCCGATTCATTGTGAGGGGTGCTAAAAGTTGGAAGGGTGTTGGAAGCGTGCTCAGTTATTCGGTCAAGGGTGTTCTTTATATTTAACAGCATAATTTAGAAAAAGAAGGAAGCGATAGATATCTGTATGTCGTCTTCAGTTTATATAACTGGGCTCAGCGTACATGAGATGAATTAATGAACCACAGTATATTTTTTTTATTCATTTTATTTTTATTTATGACTAATCAACCAAAATCTGTTACTCCGAAAATACGATTGTCATCTGTTTCAAATTACGACCAGCAAAAATAAAGCTCAATCAATCAATCAATCAACTAATATTTACTGCAGAGTTAAGGAAGAACCACTGGACTTCACGCTGGCATAGTTCAATAATAACAATAAAAGTAAAATCATTTATTGTTTTTTGCAGTGCCCAGGGACATCCAATAGACCGATCCCACAGCTAGTTTGAGTACGCCACCGCTGCCGACATGCATCGTGGGAGCTGTAGTCTTTCTGCACATGCGACAACCCTGCTAGAGGTCTGCGCGAGCAGAGCACGAGGCGGCATGAGCTATCTCGTGAATTAGCGTCTGCCTCCTACGAACAACAGATATGGCGGAGTCACGCATGCGTGGAACGCTTGGTGAGATCGGTCTATTGGTCCTCTTGCTAGCGTAGTTCAACAGAACGTATAAACCGATATGCTTGCGCGCGCACACACACACATACACGCGCGCACGCGCGTACGCAAGCATGTACACGCACAAACGCACGCAGACGCACGCACAAACAACCACGCGGACGTATCCACACGCGCACACGAACACGGGCGCATGCACGCACACACGCACGCACGGAAATGAATACGACAAACGAAACGTGCCTGAGCTATAGTTTCGGTTTCGTGTTGAAAAAGAAAACCTAAAGTTTAGATAAAACCTAAGATAGACTAAATTTTTGTTAACTTTCTACAACATTATAGTGACACTATTAATAGTAATATAATACTTATTTGCTTAGTTTCGTTTTCAAAAAAAAAAGAAGAGCCTTTTGAAGACTGCGCAAGGACCATCGCTATTGCACTCAGCTGCCGTTGGCAGTGACCGTTTTGGGCAGGCTTCGAGGGTCGCTTCCTTTTTACGTTTTCGCAGATATTTTAGATATCTTCCTTACGAATAACGTGTTCAAGCATAGCAAGCGATGACTGAGACCTGGGAGACGCTGCGTTACCAACGCAAGTTGCGGACAGTCCATCAACACTGCTGCAAACGCCGGTGAGCACTTCTGTTTCTGCGAACTGCGTCGCTGTTTCAAACTGTCGTGTACCATGGGCTTGCTAAGCTATGCTTGATTCTAACGATGCTTCTGGCCGGTGTTATTTCGCTATTTGAAAAGAGCGTACGTTGTTCAAAACCTATGGCTTGCTCCGCAGGGTGAGATTCGTGTGCGGCGGAGCCGAGAGGCTGTTCTGGGCGCCGTTCTGGGCGCCGTTCTACGACGTTCGTCCGTCGACGCTTTTGCGGAGCGTTCAAGTGCAGTCTGACGGCAGTTCAAGCAATCACAGGTCATGCTAGTGCTGCCGTGTGGTCTCAACAGCCGCTCGCCACCGATTCGTTTCGTAAAGCGGGAGCGAGAAAAAACGTTACAAGAGCGAGCAGCATGATTTCTTGCCTATGCTTATGCCTGTGCCGCAGAGACGCGCGGTATCTTCGCGTATGCCGAAGCGGCACGCTTTCGAAGTTTACGATTGTGCGATGTAAATAAAGTGAGTTTGGACGTCGCGTTTTTACGGGGCAGCGAAAGCCGCTACAAAAAGCAAAAAGCAAAAGTATGAAAATATGCGAAAAGATCCTGAATATTCGATGGTGTTGAAAGACTACCAACGTACCGACTCGCCCAGTTATTCTTTCTGTAAAAAAATGATAGCCAATAGTAATAAATGAAATAAATACCAACTTTTAATTGGTTATAAATCATGTGTAATTCATGCAGTACAGCCTTCCCTGCTCTGTTGCTTTCATGATATCAGGTAATGTGTAAATGTATAGGATAGTTCACAGGAAGAATTTACGTCCGACCCATTATATTGTATGTTTTCTCTAAATGCTTGAAGTTATATAAAAAATGCTCATCGTAAATTAAGCCGCACCACTGAATGTACAATAGCTTGTGACTTTTATGTATGTTCCCAGCAAAGGAAAAAGATGCATTCAAAAAGGGCCAATTATTGCGTTTCCTCTCTGTTAAAGCTTTTTTCGGGTGCACTCAAAACGTGGGTGTCTACGTCTAAAAGAGTGGAATTGACATTTCCCGCAGGGCTGGCAGCTTGCAACCTATGGGAACCTGGGGAACTGAACCACAAGAGTGAGAGTGACGCCCACCGTGCACTTCCTCTACGATGGCACCATAAGGAAGAGGGAGCTGCCCCCAAAGTGAATGCAATGGCAGGTGGGTCGTTACAGTGAACCCCCATGCAGATGATACCAAACAGAAAATCATTAAAAATGAATTATTATTAGAAACAAAGAACGGGAGTCGCACAGACGAGGAGGAGATGAACGCAGTGCTGTGTCATGTCCATATGCTCTGCTCCCATATTCTTCACAATTTATTTTTAATAATTGTCTACCAACTGGTCCAATCATCAGCACTAGCCAACAAGAGTATGCTGCTATTTTTTACTCTGCATTAACACTGTGCTTACAGTTAAATCCTACAGTAATGAACAAACAAAAAAATGGGAGCAAGTCAGGCACGTAACCAAAATCTTGATTCGGCGGCACCCATGACAAAATGCTGTATGAGGGGGATGGGGGAGAAGAGGCCCCAGCAAAATGGAAGAACTTTGGGGAGGGGGGGGGGGGGGGAAGCGGAGAGGGGATGGGCTTTCGTTATCTTTTGAGTAGGACAGGCGCTGGCAGTGCCTCTGTGCTACTGGGAAAGCTGGAGTTCATATCCTTCAAATTAATTGGATCCAAAAAGCTATAATATGTATTAGCGGCCGAGAAATCGCCCTGGAGGAATGCAGGCAGAGGATAACAAAATTGAATGCACACACGACAGAAC